GTACTTGAAGGTACTAGAAACATGTTCATGTGGACATGTCCTGTAGGCAGTTGAAAACGAGGTGGAAGTTTAGGCAAGAAGTCAAATTTAAAGAACCAAGTTTAGGAATTTATCCATGTGAATATAACAGTTAATAGTATAAGATTGGCTGGATCTCTTAGAAAGAAGAAAAGTTGAGCCAGAGACATAAAAGTTGCATGGATTTCTTAGGAAGAAAAAAGTTGAGCCAGAATAGTACATGCCAGAGAGTGAAAGCAAGAATGGACAGAGTGAAGTCACAAAGAGCTGTTCTTGACTCTGTCTCTAATTTCTGGGTAGAGACCTTGGGCACATTATTTAGTATTTTATACAATATATTATCTATGTAAATCTCTGGTGCACCATCATACAGGTTTAAGACACTTTAGCTGAAATAAAATGAAGGTGAAAACAGAGAATTAGAAATAGAAACAAGATAATATAGATCTTTAGGAAGAATATTTCCATGAGTGGAAATACACTTTACAAATTCTGACAGAGAGGATGGGAAGAAAACTAACAGGGAAATACCATAGAATTTGGTGATTAGGACATAATTAGTGACCTTTGAGATCAGAGTGTGATCATATTCAAATACAGAAAAGTAACAATAAAGTAATATTTCTAAAACTTACATCTGTGGCTCCAAAAATTTCTTTTTTGTCTGTGGTCACTCTTGTGTTTTGATATAGCATGTTAGTGTCATTAACCTTTTGTCCACATTTGAATAATAGAGAAAATGAGGCATAGAGTCAGGATACAGTTTATAGATATTGGATTAAAATCCAGAATTTTAATTTGGCATACTATTCATTGAATAGTAAACTAAATGTTTTTTTTTATATCATTGTCTTAAGCACTTATTCTTTATGATGTGATCAGCTCATGTGTGTAGTTAAATGGTATATAAACAACAATCAATTCAAATTAAATCATTTCATTTTTAGATATAAAACCCACCAAGCCATCTCATATCACATAATTGTGTAATTCACTGTAATTACATAATGCTCAGATGGTTCTAAAAAAATTGGTAGGCTGACATTAAAGCAAAATGACTTAAACCTATCTTAATTTGAAATGCAATGATCACATTACTAATAATAAGATTAGTCTTAAATTTTGGAATTATATCCCCTAGGAAATTTATGAGTTTTCCTTTACATAACTTTAATAACATTCAGAGGAAACCCCAGGAGAAAATACATTAACAAAATGTCTATATATTTGTCACATATTTTTAGTATTTCCTGATTAAAACTTCTTTATATCCAATCTGCTAAGATTACAGATATATTTGGCCATAAATAGTAGCAATCTCTTTTATAATTAGCCTTGTCTTCAGTGATTTATTCAGTAATAAAATAAGCCAGATTCTGGGAGTTTGATCACTTCTTAGGGAGTGAAATCTGGCATCACCAAAGGCTTGAGACTAAATTTAAAAAGATAAAATTTCTGCTATCCTAATGCTGCATATATTACAGCTAGATTCAGAAGGGATTTTCTAATTTAGTTATAACCCTAAGACTTCAAGGCAACAGTTATAACAATTTTGATGGCCCACAATATATTTAAAATAGACTTTTTATGATAAAGAACTGCAGTTATTACTTTCAATACTGAATGTAAAGGATTTATTCAAGTAAAAATTGCCCATAAGACATATATCTGGAAATAATAAGACAGCCATCTTCCTTGAGAAAGTAAAAGATGCTCTAAGAGTAAGTTTGTTCACTAAGGAGAGTGTGTTTGGTATCAGACATAGTGCAGTCCTCTAACCTATTGGGGAACACTGTGCCTACTGAGATAAAATAAGCAGAAAGGCAAGATTATGGTCTATGAACCTTTCAAAAATTTCCCACAACCTTGAACTGCCACTTCTACCAAAAAATTTTCATTATGTTTTTGTTATAAAAGATAAAAATACTTTTATTATAACATTGAGTTAAATATATACTGAAAAGTAGCTACCTTACTTGTGTGTGTGTATATATATATATATATAGAGAGAGAGAGAGAGAGAGAGAGAGAGACAGAGAGAGACAGAGAGAGAGAGACAGAGAGAGAGAGAGATAGTATGCCTCAAAAATTAGGCACTTCTGAACTCACTATATTTTTCTCACCAATAAATGACCTGTGGCTTTTAAAAAAATTTTAATTCTGGCAAATTGTCTGAGTTTAGTCTATGTCTCCAAAACTTAGTTTTTCAATTTTTTTTCTAAATTTTATTATGGGAAATTTTACACACATAACAAAGTAAAGATAGTAATATAATGAACCATGATGGATCGATTTTAATTTTGTATAGTTTAGTAACTATATCCCCAGCATCCCTAGATTTTATTCTAAGTAAATTTTAGACAGCACATTATTTCATTTATAAATATTTAAGTACATTCCTCTAAATAATTACTATTTTAAAAATATAAACAAAACATTATTAATATTTTAAAGTTAAAAAATGCACATTTGGTTTTCATATGATTCTGATAGTCTTTTTTATTTCCTACTTGCTGATTTTTAGATCATATATTTAGTTCTTTGGTGGGCTTCTTAGACTTGAGCTAAGTTAGGATAACAAGAGGAACTTAAGACTTGGTGAATCAAAAGGCACCAAAATTTCAGCTCAAATGTCTTTCCCATAGGGCCCAAGAGATGACCAATGGGAGAGGAATCTAATACCTCTTTGTTTTAGTCTTTTTTAAGCATTTCTTTGTACAAATGAGAAACAAATGCCCAAATATAATTTTTCATATTTTTTTATTAGTTTTTTAATATATAGTTTCTATTTCTTTCTGTTTTTGCCACTTGCAATTATTTTTCTCTGTTTTCCGTGTGAGATTTCCCACATTCTAGATTTTACTGATTTCATTCCATTGGCTTCAATATTTACATTTTCCTTGGTCTTAATTGGTAGTTAGATCTAAAACTCAATCTGATAGGGGTTCAATTTTGTGGAACGAATATATGATGAGTCATTGTGTATTTCCATCAGTATGTGTGTCAGGTGTAGTTTTCCTTTGTTTGAGTATGTATTCATTTATTTAGTTATGAGATCAATTTAAAACACACAAAACACAGCCTTTTTTCACTGAAGAGGTAAAATACATACCATTAGCTCTCAAATTATTTTGTCAAGAATTTTACCCACATTTTTCCTATAATGCCCAATTTAAAAAACTGATTTCCAAATGTATGGCAAAAAATAATAATAATTTAAACCTTGCTTTTGTCCAGAAAATGATTTTACTGTTCTTTATTTCTCTTCTCCTTATCCTGCAATCCTTTCTGAAAACCTACAAACTATGACTAAGAGCTGTGGAAGGGAAAAAAAATCAGTTGAAAGCATAAAGAAGCATCTATAGTTGTAATTTTTAAGAATGTATTTATATATGTCATATTTTTTTATTTTTTGTTCACAATATTTTACACAATTTCAAATAGTAACACACAAAGACTATGTTTTTTTCTTATAAAAAGTCATGGGCTATGAAATTTTGAGGGACTTGGCTTTGTAACCTTTAGTTGAACTGATATTTTTTGCTAAATTTGATGACATAATGTTTCTCTACTGGAGCTTCCCTGTGTATATAATACCAAACATATTTCTAACCCATATCATAACTCATTCACTGATTAAGAGGCAAGACAATCAGTAGTTAAATAGTTCTTTTGACTTAACAGCAATTCTAGAGTTATGTTTAGAACAATTTATGACAGTGTTGGCACTCCTTCTAATATACTCAATAACTACACAACCAAAACAAACTTCTGTATTTTTTGCAATTATTGACCAACACATATTCCTGGAAATGGCCATTCTATTTCATAACTACATATTTTTGACTTACAAATCTTGTGTTAATGTCATTCAGAATTACTAAGGTGTTTGTACTTCCTAAATATTTGCGAATGTGTAGCAAATATATATCTCTGCTATGGGAAATCTGTCAATCTTTGCACATTCCAAAAATAGAAAATATAATATAAACTCAGGTGGTGCTTCTTTAACTAGGGAATGCAATGATTTATCAAGGAATATCTAAAGCCAAAGGATAAAAATGATGTATCTTCCTGGGCCACTGATTTTACCCTGAGATTTGGTTAAAATATTTGAACTTTTATCCTCTTAAAAATTATCACAACAATGGGCAAGTGAAATGCCCAGAAAATATATCAGACGATATTATGTTTTATGTGAATATAACATAATTTTTAAATTACATGATGTAATACCTTGAAAATTTAACTATTCTTTATGCTGTTTGCAAATCTAGTAAAATTAGAACTGAAAAATATTAGAAGTTAGGATTAAAAAGTCACACACAAGGTAAGGTTATCCCAATGGCAATAGGGTTCTTAACTGCTCATCCTCTGTCAAGACAATCACAGTATCAAGCTATGCATTTTCATATCCAAATAGGGGAGTTAACAAGTGGTTGAGTAGACTATGTTTAATCTGTTTCTTTACCATTGAGTTACATAATATCAAATAACACAATTATATTATTGGTCATGCTTTTATTTAAGAACAATAGTGTCTATGAACACAAGTAAACCTCACAGTGGTAAATATTAAACTAACTGATAAAAATATTTTCATCCAGGTGAGGCAACTATGTCTGTCTATAGAATGCAAGCTATTTTCTTTTTTTTGTATTTTCAGAGTCTCACTCTGTTGCCCAGGCTAGAATGCCAGTGGCATCAGCCTACCTTACAGCAACCTCAAACTCCTAGGCTCAAGCAATCCTTCTGCCTCAGCCTCCCAGGTAGCTGGGACTACAGCCATGCGCCACCATGCCCAGCTAATTTTTTTCTGTATATTTTTAGTCAGTCAATTAATTTCTTTCTATTTTTAGTATTGACAGGTCTCGCTCTTGCTCAGGCTGGTTTTGAATTCCTAACCTTGAGCAATCCTCCCGCCTCAGCCTCCCAGAGTGCTAGGATTACAGGCGAGAGCCACTGCGCCCAGCCTCGAGCTATTTTCTGGGTAATATGTCTTTATATAACCAGATTACAAAAACAGAAGGAAGTTTATTAGTTTCTTCCAGCTGAAAAATTTGAAAATCTATGGTTAAATTCATCCCATTAGGAGTTAACTTTCTTTTTGGAAAATGTTTTTTAGGAATATTTCCTTGAGAGATCAAGCCGTGAATGAGAGGTTCTTTGACCTCACAGCAAGAAAATATACTTTTTGAAATTTCCGTTAAGAGCAATCTGAAAGTGTGCCCCATGCCAACTCTTCAGTCTCATCTGCACATTTCTTCTGAGAAATTCACTTGCTACAGATCAAAAAGTGGTGAGAAAAATAGTTGTCATTTGTGTCTACTTACTTGATGAGTCAGTATTTCTAATACATGATTCCAAGACAGAGAAATTCCCAACTGTAGAACCTGATAGAGTATCACCTCTATTTAATTGAACCAAACATTCTATTATAAAATCTGTAATCATGACACAATAGCATTTTATCCTAACCTAAGAAATATAAAAGGAGTTATTTTCCATAAAAATAAGTAACTTATATTAGGTAATATGCTATGTTATGTTTTTATGTTTTATTATGTTATGTTATAATACCAAGGTTAATACAATAATAAAAAAAATAAGAGCCCCTTTAGGCTATTTCTGCGGAGTCCTAAAAGATGTGGATTCATCTACTCTACCATTAGGGTCCACACATGGAAATGTCTGGGAAGCCATTTCTACCATTGTTCATTTTTTTTTACCTAGGAAGGAATGTTGCCTAAGGCAAAAACACAGTTCTCTGACATTAGAACATAGTACCTCTTTTCTCCAAAATTTTAACCATTCAATGGAAGGCTCACCCTGAAAAGTAAGGAATAGTGGGTAAATAAGAATCATACATTATTCTAGAGTTCCTATGATCTTTATTTGCTTAGTAATTAAGTAAATTAGGAATAATATTAAGTAGAGAGAATATCTATTCATATCATGGCTTAGAATTTTTTCACAAAACAATTGAATTAATCTGCATGATCAGAAATCCCTAAATTAGTAAATTTAAATAACCAAATGTGTATTAGTAGAGATTATAAAGTTGGAAATCATTATAGCAATTTCTGGAGTTATAAGTGAATATCTATGGAATATAACAGAGACATGGTAGCATATTAAGTAAGCATAAAAGGAAAATATTCAACTAGATGCTAACATTCACGCCATCAGTTGTTAGAATGGTAGAAATAACCATGTGACATCACCGTATTATCTCATAGAAACTGTTGTCATATTCCGGTTCTCTCTCACCCCATAATCTGTCTGATATTTCCAGATCTAGAGATTCCATATTAATTGGATAAAGGGATACTCTCTCCAATTTTGGTTTAAGTTCTAGTCTTTTTATAAAAATATTTCCTTGTCCCCATTTTGGAGACTGAGAGAAGAGGAGTGGTGTGCACTAATTTTATTTTTAACAAATTTTAAAATATTTACTGAGGTATAATTTACACGCTATAAAATTTACTCATTTGAGTAGTTAATTCCTTGAACTACACTACTGAGTAGCACACACATTTCATGTGGCAATTATGCCTATTGTAGAGTTTTTCTATTACCTTTTGTCTATAACAATAAAATTTATCCTTATGTTCACTTATTTCTTGCTTCACTGTAAACTAAAACCACTTTTCTTCCAATTCACATTGGTTTATTATTCATTGCTAAGACCAGGGTTCATATTTTCTTTCATTGACTTATTGCTTTGAGTTGTTAATAAAGCTACTTAGTATTATTAAATAGTTAAAAATATGGAATTTATCTCCTTCAAATTGATCACTCTTTATTTTTTTGTAGACTGAAGACTAACTCAACATACATTCAAAACATTGCACAACATTACAGATACTCAATATTTCTGATTTCCTCTATCATGAACTGACATTTCAGACTGCAACCTAACAATTCTATAAACTAATCTTGTATTTTAGCTAAAATTTCTATTTGAAATATACAGAGGTCAGTCTAACTAGGGCCAAGTCTAATTCAAAGTAGTTAAAAAAAATCTTAAACATGCATTCTGTAATATTTAAGTGATTGCTATGAATTAATCAAACATAGTAATATATTTCCCTGATTCTTAAAGAAAATATCAATTTTTACTTTGTCTTTGTCTTTTTTTTTTTTTTTTTACAAAATCTACATTCCCTCCATAGGCATACAAAGCCGTTCATGAGTCCCATTCTTCCTATCCTTTTAGATTCTCCTGCTATGAGGTCTCTATACATACCTTTTCATGAGTTACAGAGCAATTTTTTAGTACTAAATGGATTATAGCTTCTGTTTTGAATAAAACTCTTCAGTTTCTGGACCAACTTAGCTGGTAGTATTTTTCACATAAGTCACCGGAGGCTGGGACAAAGGAGCACCCACAGGAGATTCTGCAGGGATCCCTTTAGGCACCAGCACTTCAGTGACACAATCAGCAAGGTTTAAGAGTTTTCAGTACTTACAGACCCTGGGGAGTACAGGGCAAGCTTGAGGCTACGGGAAAGTCTGAGAGCACAGGCAGGGAGAACAAGCTTGGCAACTAGCAGCATATACAGGGGAATAGGGTGTGGGTCACTTTAAGGTCACAGGCAAATACTTGAATGGTTCTTTTAAAGGGAGCAACAAGAAAGAGGGAGCCTAGTATAAGTTCTTATTTCTGGCCACTGGTAAGAGCCATTTGGATGTTATGTAGAACTGAAAACTATGTGGAGGGGAACTCAGTCTTGCCTCTGGCAGGAGGAAGCTAAACCGCATTCAAAATGGATGCTGAGGCGACAGGAAATTATCAGCATTCACTACAGCTCCCAGAACTAAAAACCTTTTCATGTGCAATTTTCTCTGTCAGGGATATCAATTTTTCTTTAATTCACTGCAATCCTCATCACTTTAGATAGGTATACCTTTGCTAAGCCCCCAGGCTGTTTGATGTCAACATTCTTCATCTTTGAATTTTATCTTTAGGACTTCATGGTTACCACTAACTTAGGATTTTACAGTCATTTCCTCAAATTCACAGAAAAGGAATGAACCTGAACTTTCTCCATTAGGAATACGCTACAACTTTTTCTAAATACCTCTCTAATTCTCTTTCCCAGATCTTTTGTTTTATCCTAACCTGAATTTTATTATAACCATAGCAGAACACGACCGCCATTCTGTTGACCCAATCAAAATCATGACATTAATTCATTATTGGCAATATAGATGACGAAAATAACTAATATAACACCTTGATGGAAAGATCATATTTAAGCCTTTTTGGAAAATCACTTTTGGGAAATTTGTTATGGTTGTGATTTTGCCTTACATAAAGAAACATCCATGGATTTGCAGGGGTTGGGAAATTTGCCAAGAAGGAAATAAAATTCAACTTCAACCATCTTGTATAACCAGCAACTTCCACAAGGCTGGCTGGGAGCACGTGAGCATATTGCTTTGTGCAGTGGTGATCTCAAAGTGCTATTTTCCCAGAGCTATTGCCATCACATGAGGCCATAAAGATAATTGGCTCTCACACACAACTTTCTGAGTCCAAATTTCTCTATATGCAGAATATGGTTATCGGTTCTATGCTTTCTCACAGAGCTGCTTTGCATGTTAATGAGATCATGACTACCGCTTCCTTTGAGTTCTTTGAACTAAGGAACTCTATAAATAAAAGACACTATTATTTCACCACTCTTGTTACTCACTAAAGAAATGGTCCCTGAAAATACATCCTTTCACTTGCTCTGTGTGTATAATCTCTACTGCCTGCAGTGGGAGGGCTTGTGTGATATAATTACAGGAATCTGCCGGTTCTGCAGAGCGTTGTACAGTAGCATTCCAAAACGTTTCTAAAGAAAAGAGATGCTGACATCCACCCACACTTCACCTAACGCTGTTAATGCAAAACACTGACTCCAGATGTCCACAGCTTGCTTCCAAGAAAGCCTCCTCTCGGGAAACTGAAGTTTAAATGTTAAAAAATTGTTCCTGAAGAGTGGGAATTAGAGCTTCACTAATAACTCCATGACTACTTTTGGGATTCTTGACGACATTTTCATCCAAATTTTGTTTTAGGAGCTTTCTTTCTGTACTCTATTCAGAGAGAGGCTAACAACACTGGCAGCACAATTAATCTTGACAGGCCTAAGAGCTTATTCCCCCTTTTCCCTATTTTACTCCAGTTTATAAAAGATTAAATTGGTGACGAATAGAGACAAAACAATAATGCTAATTCATGCTGTTTTCTGTAGCTCTGGTACTATTATACTATTAATATATCATAACTATTTTTTAATTAATTTAAGTAAAATACCTAAGTATAATTTAGCAATGGGCAAATAATATATAGATTTTTTTTAAATCATTTAACACTAAGTATAGCAATATGGCAAAAGACCCTGGAGATAGAATTTCTTTTAGTTTAATATTTATATGATCTGTTATCAGTAATACATCATAGCCTGGTACTAAATTTTTTTCCTTAAAGAAGTTTAGTAAAACTATTAAATTATATTATTGATATCCATTTATTTGTATTATTCTAGTTCCTGGAAATTTCTGGCCAGAAGTTTTTTTTTATATATTCTCCCTATATCACTTATTGGGTTAAGTGTTTTTAAGAAGGCCTTCCTTTATCTCCATAACTTCAATATTTCTTTCCTATAATCCTTAATAGTTTGAATATATTTTGCCTTAGTATTTAATCTTTTGATGTACAATCTATAATGAGTTACAACTTCTGTACAAGAGTTCACTTATATCTGGATATATTTAAAAATACTTAGAGAAAGTTAGCTTTCTAAAATTACTTTTAAAAATTGGTTAACTAGGCAGCCCACATTCAATCCTTCTGTTTTTTTATCTCTAAACTAAAAAGCTCTATTAATGAACAAAAAAAGTAGTGAATATGACTTATTCGAAAGTAACAGAAACTAAGGTAAAATCAAATTCACTTTTCATAAATACACAGTTGAGTATCACATGTTCTTAGTGTTCTGTATGAATACGCATATTAGCCTTCTTTGCTTTGTATAGTTAGTATTTGTGGATCTGCTTTTCCCTATCTCCCTTCTCTTTCTACCACTATTTTAACTTATTTGAACGTTTCAATGTGATAAATTTTTGGTAATGAGAACATTAATTAAACTTTTACTTCACTTCATGATCTTCTAAACACCCAATGAATGATTAAAGGCTGTAAATTCCAAAATTCTTCTAAAGTCAATATTAACATATATATGCAATATAAAAATATATATGCATAAATGTGTGTATATATTATTATAGATCAATAGACACAATACATTGTCCCATACAGAAAAATGCTGCCCAGAGAGGTTATTGAAATTTGTGTGGGTGTGTGCACACACATGCACACTTATTTGCTTTTATACATATGCATATGTAAGTATATTAGTTTTGCAATCCATTTTGCATGTATTTTAAAACAAACATTATAGATGTTTCAGTGGCCCAATTTTCTCCAGGTGATCATCAGGCAACTACACAGTACATGCAATACAAAGCATGTCCAAATATTAGTGCGATATTTTCCATCAAAGCACACAATTATTGGTATTTCAAAAAATGATACTTTCTCATATTAACTCTTATCAATACAGAAGTGAAATACATGATGAAACAAAGGCATAACTTTAGATTTGAAATTCTTCTATAGTGATATTTCCACATTTTAATTATTTTTAAATAATGCCCTATTATTTTTCTCAATAAAAAGTAATAAAATTAATATAATATTTATGGATTTTAACAATACTAAAGGCATTTCATAAATAGTAAATGGGTCTTTTTTCCCAATGATGTGTAATGCCCTTTTTCATATATTAAATTCCAATACATGCACATCTCTGTTTTATTCCCACACATTTTTTTTTTCTTTTGTATAGATGTACAGACATCTTGAAAAATTTTAGCCTAGACCTCAAGTGTGGCGGCAACCTAGGTCAAAATACCAACGGAGTTGCACTGGATTTCACATAGGGCAAACTTTAGAATCATTGTCTCCTCTCCAAGAGTGGGCACACAGATGTTAATTATCACTGTTAATTATCACTAATTATCACTGTTGGAGAAGCTAGTACCATTCACCCTTACCGTGGATATTCACGCCTAATGGGTGCAGTGCAGTGCGCACCCCACGTCCAGTGGGGATGGACACGCTTGCAGCTCTGACTCGGGCCGGACAAAGACAATATACGTAATCGAAACATTTGTACCCCCGTAACATGCTGAAATAAAAAATAAATGAAAACTTATAAAAATGAATATTTCACATGCCAATTCAAATTTTAAACTTGTCTTAAGAAATCACAATAAATAGAAAACTATGGCCTCCTTGTTACTAACGATGGTTACCTTTTAATAAGTGTCCACTATGTGCTGTGTTCATTTCTAAGAGCTTGCAATTAATTAATAAATTTAACAGTCATAAACATACTATGAGTTTGGAAATATTGTCGTCTCCATTGTGAAGACGAAGAAGCTGAGACAGAGAGGTTCTGCGACAGGCCAGAGGTTATGGTCCTGGTAAGTGGCAGGGGTAGGTGCTCGGATACAGAGTCCATACTCAGCCTCCGTACTGGACGACGTCTCCATGACAGCAATAGCCCAGAGCTCAGTACTTGCCGCTTCCTTTAGATACCACATACCCTGCGCAACTCACCAGAATCTCCACCACTCCTCATTGCAATCTTTTCACGATGGTCAAGAGAAAGTGGCCATCAGTATGTTTGTACTTCTACTTTTCCTATAGCATATACACACACACACACACACACACCCCTTATATATACATGTATATATACACACACATAAATACATATTTTGACATGTGTATATATGTGTGTACATACATATACACACATATATACACACCTTATATATGTGTGTATATATGTCAAATATGGTAAAAATGAAATAAAGACCAAGAGAACAATTGCATAAAAAATGGTAGGAAGCATACATAGTTCTGTGTGGATGTGAAGAACATTATGACTAATAAAATAAATAAAAGATTATTTTACATTATTAAAACGACCACTGTTAACACTTGAGCTTGTAATCCTTTCTTCCATCTTTCCAAATCCTCTATTTTCTTATTTAGTGAACATCTCCTTCAACCTCTTGGAAACCTCCACTTTTGAGTTTTCTTTTCTTTTTGAACACGTATTTTTATCCCTAATGGTACCATCTTTCAACTGTTTCATTTCAGTTGCTTTATCATTCTAACTCCATCACACTTATTTTGCCCCGACACTGCCAAATCTCAGTATTGAAGTAATTCAAAATAATCTTTTTTTTTTTTTTTCCTTCGTGTTTGGATGCCAAACTCATTCCCCTGCTAACACAATTGATGACTGAGTCTTGGGTTTGAAACTTTCATTGATTTTACCGTTTTAAAATCTTATTAGCTTCCAAACAATTTTGCTCTGATAATTTGCATTTTAGCTCAAGACCTCACTCTACACCTCTCAATGGATTCTACGAATACTGAATCGGTTTCCTACTCTGTAGTCTTGTCTCCTCCTATTCTTTTACCCTGCTGACAGAGTGATCTTTCAAAATTGCAAAGGCGATCATGTTGTCCACGAGCTTGCAACATTCTGTGGCTGTCTATGTCCTATAGAAGGAAGTTCAAATCGTTTAACACTCACTTCATGTTCTAAACTATCACTCAGGTTGTGACTACAGCAAAACTCGGTCTCTGAGTATGAAACTGATTAGGGCTGGAGCTTTAGAATATAGAGAGTTTCTGTCTTAACTTTGCAGACTTCCTTGACTTTCTAGTACTTTAGCAATGCTTGTTCCTGTTATATAAATCTGTGAAAACTGTACAAATTTAGAATATGTAGACTTAATGATATATAACCATTTTCTCTGCAGAATTCTTATGTCTGCCTTAGAAAAAAAATCAAATATCTCTGAATTCATTCTATGTGTTTAATGGCAGTGGCTTTTGCAGGAAAATGATGATCTATTTATAATAACTTCAATGTTCTGTGCAAAATTCCACTATTGCTCAGAAACTGTTTTTCAGAATAGCCATATATATTTATTATTTTCCTTAAACAATTGGGATATTTAGAATATGGAATTAAAAGATACTTTCTTGAGAGATAAAGTTTTTTTTACATGGGTGTGATGATTTTACTATTCAAATCTTCATGCATATATGTGATTAGCTGAGGAAGGGTATTTATATCTAGGCTTGCATCCATGGGTCTGTGTGTCTGTCATTCTGTTTGTGGCCCTTTCATCAGGATTGATCTGATGTATTTCTTACTGTAGGGACCAGAATATAAGAAAGCTCCTATTAGCACATTCAATTAAGCCACACCCTTCTCCCATTTTTTTCACACGATATACATTACCTTCTTTTATCTATTTCAGTGAACTCGTGGTTTCACATCCCTGCTATTGAAAATCTACATACAATCCACTTCTGTGTTTCATCAGTAAGTATATATTGTCCATTCCAGCCAATCCACCTCATTTTTCCCTTAATGCTTTTCTATTTTGTGTTCCTACAAGAATGTGATATTTTAATTTCTGACTATTCTTCTAGCCTAGAACTTGTCCTGCCAAATAGCAGGTGTTCAAAAGTGCGTGCATGAATGGAATTCTGAAAGCTTTGGATAAGATGTACTCCCTCCACTGCTCATGGGCCTTTGAGACCCAAACAACATGAACTAGTAGTCGTAGCTTCCCCACCAGGAGATGAGGATTAACAAAGCTTTGCTTTGGTGAAAGAGTATTCAACATTTGGTTAATTCTCTTGCATTGTTCCCTGGGACACCTGAGATATGTAAAATGTCAGTTATAAGAGTATTTATATGAAAAATATTCGTTTATTTATGAATTGTTTTGGGGTTTTGAGAGGGACTCTTAACTTTGGGTTTCCCTAAATACAGTGGCTCTTGAAACTGACATGGGCACGGCAGGTATCTTCTTGCATATGTGTATGAAGTTGTTATTCATATTAGCTCCTTAAGAGCAAGGGAGTTTTAAGCCAGGAGAAAATTTATATCATGTCTCCTTGTACCTGATATGTCCACTAACTGGTTATTTCAAGGATCTGTGATGAAGAATGGCTAATGTTGACCTGATGTCAAGTTGGGCTTTCTGACCAATATATTGCATAAGATAGCTAGGTGTGCTAAGAAAATGTCCTCATGGGAATTATAGCAACAAGGAATGTTTAGAAAACAAGTTTCAAATTTTGAATATGAAATAGAATGTTTGAAAGTGTATCTAGTCTGTTAGAAATCAAATAATGCATTTGAAAGGCCATTGGAAAGCATTAAATCTAGTAAACATTTCTGATGAAGCATATATATATATATATATTTATGTATATAAAATCAGTAAGCAACATATCAAAGAGATAGCATAATGCAATGGAATATCCACTGTTAGAAAATTTGGCTGAATGGAGATGGTTTCATATTGCATTCTCTGTTCTATTCCATTGTTCTGTGTCTCTATTTTTGTGCTATTCCCATGCTGCTTTGGTTACTATAGCCTTGTAGTATAGTTTGAAGTCTGGTAAATTGATGCCTTCCGATTTGTTCTTTTTGCTTAAGATTGCTTTGGTTATTCAGACTCTTTCCTGGTTCCAAATAAAGCATAGAATTATTTTTTCTAGATCTGTGAAATATGGCATTGGTATTTTGATGGGGATTGCATTGAATCTATAAATAACTTTGGGTAGTATGGACATTTTAAAAATGTTGATTCCAGCCGGGTGCGGTGGCTCACACCTGTAATTGTAGTACTCTGGGAGCCCGAGGCAGGAGGATTGCTCAAGGTCAGGAGTTAAGAACCAGTCTAAACAAGAGTGAGATCCTATCTCTACTAAAAATAGAAAGAATTTAATTGGCCAACTAAAAATGTACACAAAATATTAGCCAGGCATGGTGGCGCATGCCTATAGTCCCAGCTACTCGGGAGGCTGAGGCAGGAGGATCGCTTGAGCCCAGGAGTTTGAGGTTGCTGTGAGCTAGGCTGACACCATGCACTCTAGCTTGGGCAATAGAGTGAGACTCTGTCTCAAAAAAAAAAAAAAATTTGACTCTACTGATCCATGAGCATGATATGTTTTTACATTCTTTTGTGTCATCTGCAGTTTTTTTCATCATTGTTTTATAGTTCTTCTTGTAGAGGTCTTTTACCTCCTTAATTAAGTATATTCCAGGCTATTTTTTTAGCTATTATAATTGAGTTCTGGATTTGATTCCCAGATTGTTTTTTATTAGTGTATAGAAATGGTATTGATTTGTGTACATTGATTGTATAACCTGAGACTTTACTGAATTCATTTATCAATTCTAGGAGTCTTTTTGAGGAAGCTTTAGGGTTTTCTAGGTATAAGATCACATAACCAGCAAAGGTGATGTTTTGCATCCTATTTTCCAATTTGGATGCCCTTTCTCCCTCTCCCCTGATTGCTCTTCCTGGGACTTCCAGTACTATGTTGAATAGAAGTGGCAACAGTAGTTATCCTTGTCTTCCAGCTCTTAAGGGGAATGCTTTCAGCTTTTCTCCATTCAGTGTGATGTTGGCTGTGAGTTTATTATATATGGTTTGATAGAATTTGGCCATAAATGCTTCTGGTCTTATGCTTTTTGTTTGTTTTTTTTTTGCGGGGGGGAGGGTGATAGTTTTTGATTACTGATTCCATCTCACTACTCCATATTGATCTATTTAGGATTTCTGTGTCTTTGTTTCAAGCTTGGGAGGTGGTGTGTTTTTAAAATGTATCCATCTGCTCTAGATTTTCTGGTTTGTGTGCATAGAGGTGTTGACAGTAGCCTCAGATGATCTTTTGTGGCATCAGTGGTGTGTCCTTTTCCTTTGCTGATTGAGCTTATTTTAATTCTCTTATTTTCTTGGTTAAACTAGCTAGTGGTTTTTCAATTTTATTTACCTTTTCAAAGAACCAAGTTTTCATTTCATTGATCCTTTATATGTGTATTTTTTTGTCTTTAATTTTGTTTAGTTCTGCTCTGATCATTCTTATTTCTTGTCTTCTGATAGATTTGAGTTTTGCTTTTTGTTTGTTTTTATAATTTCGTGAGGTGTGACATTGGGTTGTTAATTTAGGATCTTTTTGGTTTTTGATGTGGGGATTTAGTGCTATGAACTAAATGCTATTTAGTCACTTATTTTTGTCTTTTCCTTGCGTGTGCCAGAAACTTAAATTTTCCCTATAGTTTAGTACATTTTGTATACTGCAGTGTAATTTTTCAGCATTGCAAAATTCTTTTCTGACTTTTCCAATCAGTTAGAGGTTCCCCCTGCCCCCATCTTCTCAAGATTGCACCTAAACTCTTATAGGCTTATTAATGTCAAATACTGGAAGAAGAATAAGCACTTATTAGAAGATATTATTTTAATGCATATGTAAATAAAAATATATCACTTTTATTCATCTATTTATCCAACAAATATTTATCATGCATCTACTAATTGTTCAAAGAGATAGTTATGGAGCATCTAGCAATAATAGGGTCCTGCTCTGAAGGCATTTGGTGCACAGATGATGAAGCCAGAAAGCAAGTAATTATAATACAATCTGATGTGTGATACTGCAGAGGCAAACACACGCTTGGTGGCCATATCAGTGCCACCACACCTAGTCTTAGAGAAATAAGCAACAGCATCCTTATGGAAACAATAAATAAAAATAAAATGGAAGTAGATAAGAGTTATCCAAGCAGAAATTAATTTGAATCAGTGGTGCTGTCAAATGTCAATGAAAAGATCCAATGACACTCTACAAAAAAGACACCTACACTCGAATGTTTATAGCAGCACAATTCATAATCACAAGGCTGTGGAAATAGCCCAAGTGCCCATCAATCCAAGAATAGATTAATAAAATGTGGTATATGTATACCATGGAATACTATTCGGCTCTAAGAAACAACGGTGATATAGCACATTTTATATTTTCCTGGTTAGAGCTGGAACCCATACTACTAAGTGAAGTATCCCAAGAATGGAAAAACAAGCACCACATATACTCACCAGCAAACTGGTATTAATTGAGCAGCACCTAAGTGGACACATAGGTACTACAGTAATAGGGTATTGGGCAGGGGGGAGGGGGGCAGGTGTATACATATATAATGAGTGAGATGTGCACCATCTGGGGGATGGTCATGCTGGAGACTCAGACTTGTGGGGGGAGGGGGGAATGGGCATTTATTGAAACCTTAAAATCTGTAGCCCCATAATATGCCGAAATAAAAAAAAAAAGAAAATGGAAAAAAAAAAAGTCTATGAGGGGCGATGACAGAGGCTGTGTTGTATTTGAAGAATTGTGTGCAAGTCAGTAAGTGGGGCAACAGGTAGAGCAGAAAGACCAATGAGAAATAAAGTTGGAGAAGGAAGCATGGGCCAAAAATGGAGAATTTTAAGGAATTAAGTCTCTAAGGTAAAAATAAAGTCATTGAAGTTTTGAAGTTTTTCAAGTATTGGGGTCACTTGAATTCAGTTGAAATTTTGAATGACTACACTAGCTATGATATGGAAATATCTTGATATAGAGGCAGCCTGAGGCAGAGAGAGACCAAATTGGAAGTTCTTGGCACAATTCAGGTCACATGTCATCATGGACTAAAATAACAGAAATAAGAGAGAGAGAGAGAAGGAGACTAAGAGGCAGACAAACTTGAAAAGTTTACAAACTTAGCGATAAGAAAGCATTTTATTTCAAAGATACCTGCACTGGTCATGTTTACTGCATCCCTATTCACAGTTGCAAAGATGTGGAACCAACCTACCTGCCCACCAACTGGTGAGTGGATAAAGAAAAATACACACACACACACACCATCGAATACTATTCAGCCATTAAAAAATTAAAAAAAAAAATCTTTCACAGAAAATTTGATGGAACTGCAGGCCATTATCCTAAGTAAAGTAATCCAGGAAGAAGAAAACAAATACTGCATGTTCTCACTTATAGGTGGGAGCTAAGCAAAGGGTATGCGTCGCCATGCATGGTGACCTAGTGCAGCTGTCCCCAACCTTTTTGGCATCAGGGACAAGTTTCATGGAAGACAATTTTCCCGCAGGGAGAGAGTGCAGGAGGGCGGATGGTTTCCGGATGATTCAAGCATGCAACCTAGATCACTCCCATGTGCATTTTACAGTAGGGTTCCTGCTCCTATGAGAATCGCTTGTGCCAGTGATCTGACAGGAGGTGGAGCTCGGGCAGTGATGCCAGCAACGGGAGCGGCTGTAAACGCAGATGAAGGTTCCCTCACTTGCCGGCTCCTCACCTCCTGCTGTGCAGCCCAGTTCCTAACAGGCCATGGTACCGGCCTGTGGCCCGGGGATTGAGAACCACAGACTTATTGGACACTGGAGACAGCAGGCAGAGGGTGGGAGGGAGATGTGGGATGAAAGTAACCTATTGGGTACAATCTGCACTGTCCAGGTGACAGATATATTAACACCCTAGACTTTCTCCACTATGCAATTCATCCATGTAACAACAACAAAGAAAAACCTACTTGTACTTCCTAAATCTACTTAAATAAAAAATGCAACAAAAATATTAGGCACCCCTGTAATCCCAGCACTTTGTAAGGCTGAGATGGGAGGATTGCTTGAGGCCAGGAGTTCAAGGCCAGCCTAGGCAATATAGCGAGACTGTGCCTCTACCAAAAATTTTTAAAAATTAGCCAGGCATGACGTTGCATGCCTCTAGTCTCAGCTAGTCAGGAGACTGAGGAATGAGGCTTGTTTGAGCTGAGGAGTTGGAGGTTACAGT